AGATGCTTTCTGTTGCTGGCAACATTACTCCAAGTACACTTCGAAGATTTAACAGGCGTATATTTATTCAGCATAAGTAAGGAATAGATCATCTTTTGTTTTTTCAATAATTCTGTTTCATTTTTATATTTTATTGTATTAACATTGTTTGAAAATTAAAGATAGCACAAAAAGAAGACAAAAGAAAGGAAAAAAAAAATTGGGTTGATAAAGGAAAAAATTCTGTCGTTTTTTTGATAATGTTACCATTGTTGTTGTTGTTTTTGCTGCTGCTGCTGCTGCTGTTGTTGTTGCCTTATATCTGATTAAATAAAGTAATTAAGAATTAGTGAAAGAGTGTAAATAAGAAAAAAAAATGTAAGCAGAAACAAAATGGATAAATGAAATAAATGAAATAATTCTTAGAAAAGAAAAAAAAATAAATAAATAAAAGTAAAAAAAATAACAAAATTTTCTTTTCCTGTCAATTTTATTTGTTTTTTTTTTAGGTTTATGTTTTAGTCTCAAAAATCATTTCTTTTTTCTTTTATGTTTTTCTTTTTCTTTTATTTTTTATTTTTATTTCTTTTTTTTTTCGTGTCATGTTAAGTAAACTTATTTTGAGAATAGAAAGGCAAAGAAGGGGGAAAAAAAAAGGAATGGTAAGAATGGGAGAACAGGAGAGCGAGAAGGAAAAAAAAGAAAGGATAAAGAAAAAAAAAATTTTCATTGAAGAGTAAGTTTAAGAAAAGGCATAAAAGATTGGATGTGAAAATTGAAACTGATAGATGGGAGCTTGCTGGAAGAGTTACCGACAAGGTTTCAGCTCCTAAGCAACACGAATACATTGTGGGTTATACTTTAGAACAGCTACAGAGTAGTTGTTATATAGACAACGGACGACAAGTTTACTGGGTTGCTGTTGCCAATACTGAAGTTACTGATACTGATGATGGTAATCTTGAACAAGAAAAAAAAAAAAAGAAGTCAAATTCTGGTCATAATTTTTGTTGTTGTTGTTATTCTTATGGTTTTAATCTTTCTTTTACCTGTTCTAAAAAAAATTTATTCATCTCTTTTTTTTTCTGCTTGTTTTAAGTCTTGGTGTTCCAATCTTAGTCTCAGCTTTAGTCTTGTTTATGTTCGTGATATTGGCGTTGTTCAGCTTGTTTATTGTCATTTTTTTTTTGCACCCGTATCAACTGACCATTTTTTTTTCGCCATTTTCTTTTCTACTGCTTTTTTTTTTTTTTTTTTTTTTTTTTTTTTTTT